AGCGACATGCATATGTTGCAGAAGGCAGTGTGTTTTAGCAAGTTGGTTTTGAAAAGCTTTTCTGAGAGCTGCGAAGAGAATTGGAAAGACTGTTTGAAAGGTGGTTTGTGGCTGGGCCATTTGGCCTGTTAAAAATCCTTTTTCTGTTGAAGCATCCCTCTAGTTTAATTACAGATCACCTCAGTGTACAGAATCAGGAATGATTATTCCAAAGGTGGTTAAACGGGTAGCACAGAACCCTGTCCTCTATGTGGCATTTGGGTTTGAGCGTTTTGTTTTGGTGTTTGGGTTTTTTTAATCTTAATGGTAGCATGAAGTTATTGTCATGTTTTCTGGGCTGTTGCAGTAGCAGGTGTCTCGGAAAGCCAGTGCAAGTGCAGTGTGTGGCGGAGAGCGTGCAGTGCATGGTGACCACAGCAGAAGGAAATTAAAGCCTGTCTGCTGGGTGAAATGAGCTGATGAGGAATATAGTTGGTTGAGTGTGATACTGCAGTAGCACCACCTCCCTCACCCTGTCTCAGGAATGTAAGTCAGTATAAAAAAAAAAAAAAAAAAAAGAACTTCCGTAGTAAAAAGGGAAGACATGAAAGAAGCAGTGTCACAATTCCTAAGCTTCCACCTTGTGCACAGGATCCCTGATCTCTAAGGGGGCAGCGTGTGTAGCTTCTTTCAGAAGCTTGGCTTCTGGCAAAGTCCTTCACTAAATGTGCTGGGTGAAGAAGTGACTTGGATTCACGTCAAAGACAGGACAAAGGTAGGACAGTGCAGAGAAGTGCTGCGTGGAAATCTGTAAGTGCCTTTTGCCATTGCCGCCAACTTGGGAGAGTTCTGCTGCGAGTTTCCAGCCTTGAACCCTGCATGGCTCTGGCAGTACCGTAACAGCAGTTGGTGTTGCAAGTCCTGAACCCAGGTTATCCTCAAAGCTGCTCTAGTGTGCTTCAGCGCAGCTCAGCCTCTGTCTGGCAGCAGGTTTCGCGGCCGTGTTTCGGTCCTTCATGGCATTGTGATGCCACGGCACGGGCACAGGCTGCCAGTTGTGCCAGGTTTTGTGTAAATGGCATGAGTATAGACAAGAAGGTAGATGATAAACAGAGGGTTAAACTTGTTTGTGTATTGGAAATTGTGCAGGAACTCTTGTTGCCGACCTTCCTGCCTCTCTTTCCTTCTTTCTAAAGCTGATAAATTAAAGCTCTGCACCACCCTGCGCTGTCTCCTGTTCCTTTCTCATCCTCACCTCTGAACTGTTTTCTCTCAGTGGTGCTGCTTTTGGCCTTGAACCTCCAACCTCCTCCGTTGCTTTAGAATTGGAAGGACAAAGCTTTATTGAACTGAACATCCTCTCTCTTCTCTCGGAACTGTTTGGAACAAGCCTCTCTCGGATTAGAGTATGCTTGTTTTGCCCTGCTCAGCTACAGAAGCTTCTTGCCTTTTTGATATTCAGTCGCAGGCTTCCATCTCCTTTCTGACCAGCCCCTGTTTACTTTGCAGAATACAACGTTGTCATGGCAACAGGTTACTTTTCAAAGGGAACATCTTGTCATTATATTTAATCCACTGCAGCTGAAGAGGACTGAAATATTAAGTTGTTGTTGCTATGGATACTGCTTTGTTACATCAGTTTCTTTTGTGTCAGATTTCATATACAGTGTTGGGTCCTCTTTTTTCTTTCCCATCGAATAAACACAGAGTGCTGTTCCATTATTATTGTAATTGCTTTCCACCAATATAATTTAGCTTAAAAATCTACAGTGCATTTTAGTTTCCATAGCAAGAATTTTCTTTCCATTTGCAAACCCATTCCTGGGGACGTGGAAACGGTAAAAATTATTTAACAGACTGTGTGCCCTTGCAGAACGATCAGCTTTTTGTGCCTTTTGAAAAAAAGTGTGATGTAGGGCAGTCTGCAAGAGCTTCCTGCACAGCAGCTGAATTGAGTCCAGTCCTTACCTTTTGGGGCAGGAGGAGGGAGTACCTTTAGGGTGTGAATATAATCAGGAAATGATAAATGAGCGATGAAAAGGCACACAGAAGTATTTCTCTCGACACTTCATGTGAGGAATCATGGTTGGGTAGCCCCATTGAGTTTTCCCAGCTAACTCTACATAGTTAGGAGCAGAAGTTCCCTCCAAAACTTTGCTTTTATCTTTGCAATTACTTACAGGATGCTTCAGACTCCTCTAACAGGGCTTGATTCTTAACCGCTTTATTTATCATACTCAGTGTGATGCAACTGAAGAGCATGGGAGTTGGGGGATATTTGGAGTGCTGTGTTTTTTCTTGTCTAAATGGAATATAGTTTGAGTGGCCTTTGGCTGGTGTGAAATAGTGTAGCTGGCAGAAACTGCATAGACATGTTTTCAGTTTGACTTGCACTAACTAGTAGAGATGGACGTGGCTTTAAAATGAATTCTGGGAATAAAGGAAGAGCATCAGCATTTTCTGTAGTCAGTTTTCCCTTCATTCCTCACAAGGAAAAATTCTGACACCTTGTCACTGCAAAAATGTACCTTCGTATTTAATTTATGACTTTGTTGTAAATATAAAATTGTTTTTCTAGTTCAGTCGTTTCTTTGCATAACCTGAAAACAAGAGTTAACAGTGTCAGATCGTGTCTTGCAAAAATATGCAATGGAGAAAAAAACATTTTCCCATGTTCTCGTTTTCAGGAGACTTTTGGCACATACTTTAGAGTGGATCTGCTTACCAGGAGGTAGCATTGCATAGACATCAAGACAGAAGATTGAGTATTACAAAACCTGTGTTTATTCCTGTCAGACAGGTTCTCCAGTCCTCTTGTCTTGGATAAAGTCCATTCAGATCCAGAGCTCTAGTTCACCCACTTGTGTACCAATGAATAACGTTTCAGAATGGTCAATAAGGTCAAGTTTAACTTAACACACATAGGTAACATACTTGGAAATTTTGAGGTGAAAATGTTCATAAAGATACACAAATGATCATGTAAAAAAAAAAAAAACCAAACCAAAACGACCCCAAGCCCAACCCTCCAGTAACCTTTTTGGCTTCTAGTGGTATTTAATGGTTTGGATTCTGAATTTTTTAAGTATAAAGGAAACTTTATCGGTCAGAGCTTAAGATCACGGTGAACGTGGCAGTGTGACTTAAGAAATCCTGCAGGGCACCAGCTTACTTGTAAAATGATGTTCTTACTCCCGTAACAGCAAATTGCAAGATGAATTCAAGTTTGCTCTTTCCAAGTTAAGGATGGTGATCTAGATCTAAGATTTATGTGTGTGCTCTCCCTTGCCAGTGTGTTGAGAGGCACTTAAATGTCGTGCAGTTATTGAGGAGTTAAATTCAAAAGTTTATCTTAAAACAGCTCTGAATTTTGTGGTCCTTTTAATGCAATATGCAGAGTGTAAATAAAAGATTGCTGTTTAAGAACAATTTATAGGAGAAGTAGTACGTTGATCTTCAGGATATTGAAGTTCCGTGGATATGGTTGTTTTCTTTAATGCTGTTTTATAGGAGTCTTGAACAGTCATTTAAATTTTCAGACTGTAGGTGCATTCAGTATCCCAAATACCAGTGTTGAGGCACAATTGCATTTACAGACTTGCAGTGATCTGGCTCTTGACGAGCTGGCTGTGGGAGATTACAGCAGAGAGGTCCCATAGATTCAACTGTAGTCCGTGAGAAATTAGTATTTCCAGTAAATAGTTTTGTTCTTGTGCCTTCTTGTTGCTTATATTTTACTATATTTAATAAAGAAAAGGGGTCAAAGGGCACTCTCCAGTGGTAAAGCTTTATTTACTCTGTTAGTCTCTTCAAAATTTAAGAAGAAAAAGAAACGTCGTCATGTCAGATGTGTTATTCTGGTTTATGTTGACATACCTTTAACTTCGTTGTTGCCAGGGTAATTTTTCTGCAACATGAAAAAATAGTTTTTTTCTCCTGCCATATACTGTGATGTTTCAGTAACTCCAGCCGATGGTGTGAGCAGCACAGAACCCCTCAGAGCATAATTCTCACTAAGTGGGGGGACAGTTCATGTGGAACTTGAAATTTTTATGCAAACGTAATTTCAAAGTAGTGGAAAAATATGAGGGCCAAGTGTGTTCTGCAGAAGAGAATCCCTTTTTGGATGAATCGAATTAAATTCAATTCTCTAAAGTTACAAGGCATGGTTTGATTGCCTTTTAGATTTTTCCATGCTTCTGTGTCATACTATCTGATGTGATTTTAGCAGATGAATTAGCAGCAGTAATAATTTTAACTTCTTAAAGCAAGAGCTAGACGATTTTGCATGTAATATCCAAAGTAACCTGAATGGTTTTCCATGAATTCTGCCTGGAAAAAGAGGAGTTAGTTTTGCCAATTCTGGTAATGCAAGGCTCCGTTCTTCAAAGTTTAATACCCCAAATATTTTTATTTGAGATGTTTTTCTCTTTCAAAATGAAAATGGCCGCAAAGATGTTCATGAGGGATGTGGTATTTCCTGTGCAGGCATCTGCAGCGTAGTGCTCAGCGTGCTGTCTGCACTGCTTTGGGTTTGGTCTTGAAATAAGCAGTTAAAGGAACATGGTACGAGTCACGTTGGAAGGTGATTCTCTGTGTAGCGGGCTTTGGAGTTGGCTGCCTAAAGCATGGAGCGGTTCCGAGCCGTGGAGGCTTGTAAAGGGTCTTGATGAGAAGCCAGTGCTGCCTCTGTGTTACATGAAATCCAGGCGTCAACAGGAAGGAAGGTGTGTGTCCGTTATCGGCTGCTGTGGTAGTTGCTCCTGTGAGGGCAGATCACACTGATCCTCCTCTTGAGTTCAGCTGCTTGACTGAAAGTTCCAGACTTGCTCCCGTGGTTTTTGCCGTTTGCAGTGTGGCCTGTAACACACCTGGGTGTATCTTGTCTTGTGTTCTCCACAGTGTATTATTTTTCCTTCCATTTACATTGGAAATGCAATGAGAAAAAATAAGGAATATGATCCGAAATGGCATTAACTGTAATTCTTTCTCATTACTATTTTTTTTTCTTTATATATTAGGAGGCTAAACAGTACCCAAGGTGAAATCAGAGTGGGACCCAGCCATCAGGTAAGGGATTTTGTTCCTATTCTAATATCGAGAAGGCGTGCTTTTGCCACGTTATCCGATCAGAGGGCAGTTAGTTAAAACTGTATGCATTCAAATACAATGAGGTATTTTTAGATTCATCGTGAGTTCTTTAGAATTCCTTAGCTCAGTTAATGAGATTTTTTTCTATGTCAAATGTTGATACATTAATAATTTTTGCTAGCAGAAGTGCTATTGGATTCATTCTAGAATAAGACTGAAGTATGAGTAGCTACTGGAAATAAAGGAAAAATCTCAACTATTGGGCACATTTTGGAGTTAAAAATGAATGCTTTCTCAGCTGGCAATGTTTTTAATAAACTATTAAAAACCCCATATAAATAAACTATTAAAAATTAATTTGGTAATATTTTTTTTAGTTATATTGAAAGTAGATCTTTTAATTTTAATTTGCTCAGTAAAATGGTGAAGTTGATAGTATGTTACCTGTTACATATTTAAACAAAATGGAGTTCTGTTAGAAGTGATTAAAAAACCACGGCAGTTTTCCAAGAATAACAGTACAAAATTAGAAGGATTGGGGGACTCTAAACCTGAGAAAGGTTTCTTTCCTGCAGAGTGACTGTGCTGAGATATACGTATATATTTATGTATGTATTCATCTTCTAACACAGGGTACAGTGCTTTTCAGCATGTCTGTTAATGTAGCTGTCATTAATGCAGAATTCACTGTAAACCTGCTCTCCCTTTTATGTTTGTCTCCGAGCGTGCTCTGCCTGGTGTCATGTCTGGCTTTGCATTTCCTCCTCGACTTGCGTTTACGCTTGAGCTCGTCACGTCTTCTCCTCTTATTTTTAAACGTTAAATTGAGTTTGGCCAACTGTGGTACTTCAGCATAAAAATCAGGGTGCCACGGTATATTTAGGAATTCAACAGTTGTCTTAAAAATGAAATTAGTATTTATAATTGGAGCACTTTTGGCAGCTGTTAAGGATTAGATCTCTTCTAAATACTCTCCTCCTGCGTGACCACGTGCCAGTGTCACCAACACGCTCCCCCTCTGCCATTCAGGAGGTTAGCTGGTCCTTACCATATTACCTCCATCGTTTTCATACAAAGCAGTTCAAATTCTTCTTAACTAGGAGGCATGGTACTTCTGGATGATTATTGAAATATCCCTTTTGTCCACAGTCTATAGGAGTCACGTTATAATTAAAGTATCTTACTGGTATTTCCCAGGAAGTTTTTGATGCAGGCTTTCTTTTCACGTTCTGATGCTGTAGAGGATAAGTTTTGATTTTAAAGATAGGGAGAGTTCAGTTGTATTGTTTGTTTGACTGTGAGGAGCAGTAAGAACTGGAAGTTCTTAAGACCAGTGCCTTAAGCCATTTGGATTGTTAAAATAGAAATTGAGAAAGCATGCTGAACGTGTTCAGACACTGGGAAGCAGAATAAGGTTAAGACTCTGGAGGTTAGTTTGTTCCTGGTATGTTCTAATTTGAGGGAAATCCTTCCTAAGTGCTGAAAATAATCAGGTTTTAGCATTAGCATGCAACTTACTCTGATTTAGAAGGCCAGATCTGTCTCTAGGAACTGAGGGCTCTCCTTTACCTGTGGAATTGACTTTGTGCTGCCCAAGTGCTGGATTTTTGCATCCCAGTGATGAATATTCATTCAGACTCTTACTAAAATCTTGTTTAATAACATTTATGGAACTGCTGTAACATTCTTAAGGATGTTTTGCATTCAGAGGAAGAAAGTCCATGCAATTAAACCTGTAGTATTCTTTTCACTAGTCATAATATGAGTGCTGTAAATGATACCTTCAAAACAACTTTCATCTCAAATTGTCATCTAATATTTTGGCAGGTATTAGTCACCTGTGCTGTAAGGTATAATTACCAGATGCATTTACGGGTGGAAATAAAAGTAGGAAGAAGGTCCACTGATTTAGAGTTCTGTTAATTTTTGCTTGCTTAGTATATTTTAAACTTCCATTGTTCGTTCTTTCACTGAGTATCTGTGTTTCTGAGAAATGTCATCACTAGGAGGATATATTCACATCCTGTTAATTAGCATGAGGTATAATCTTAAAATATATGAATGGTTGGTTGTGGGCCGCGGTAGGAAATCAGATTGAAGATGGTGTTTGCTGCTTTCCATTCTGTAGTCTGATTCATTCTGGGGAAAGTGTAAAAATGTAGCGGAATCCAGAAACAACCCTGAGATCCCTGTAGTAGCTTGATGAATCTGTTGCCTTCATTTTCCTTAAATTGTGCGTGTTACAGATGCTAGAGGGCTGTTGGTTCAGTTTTTTAATACTTCGTGCACAGATACCTCCAAGTAGCGCTTGTATCATAATAGCAAGTAGAGACACCAGTGAAGACAAATGTTTTGTAGAATTGCATTTGTTCTCAAAATTCACATGCGTAGGAGGAGGAGAGTGGGTCTCTACTAAATGTTCTCCCATGAAAACTTTTGGCTAACAAATTAATGGCCAGAGGTGTTTCAAGAGGAAGTTGCTCTTAGGAGTAACTGTTATAATTAAGCATGTTCCTAGGGTACATAAGGATGAACATAAATTTGTGAAAGCACCCTGGTAGCCAGTATGCATAGCGCTCATAGAAATCTCATCTTTATAATGCTTGCTTCTCCTTTTCTAGAAGAGAAGTTCAATGACATCTCCATTTTCCCAGTCAAGAAGTAAAATAAAGTACAGATTAAAGAGCAGAACATGAAAGACATCTGAACCTGTGACTTGTAATTACTGGTTATGTATAAATGTTGCCTCTCAAATATGTTTAGCGTTGTAAGTATAGGAGGTAATTATAGGGCTTAAAAGCTGTTTCTGAAGAGGCTTTCAGCTATCTCATCCAATAGCAGGAGATGACTAAAGATGCTAATTGGGTCTCTGGATACAGTGTAATGTTTAGTGGCAGAGTTCATTTCACTGAGCTATCTCACTTTCAGGAAATTTCTTTGTTTCTCTTTCGAGTTTTAATGATTTACTGCAGACTTTAAGTTTAAGCTTAGTGTCAAATGTGTGGGGTGGGGTTTTTTTTACAGATTTAAAATGGTACACATATGGTAGCCATGTTTCTTGCCTTCTTTCATATTAGTATGTTAAATGAGTGTGTTTTAGCCCAACAAGCAGGATTTGTAGCAGCATCTTTTTGACAAATGAAAATGAACTGTCTTTTTGAGGGCAAATTGTCCAATGACGTTTGACTTCTGTACAGTGGAGGACTATACCTAATGGTAAATACATACATAATGCATTAAGTGGTGTGCTTTCAGGCTGTAATATTTCTGCGGACATGCTTGCACTTGGTCTGTATACAGAAGGGCTTCACTGGTGGTGAACTGAGAGGTGGCGTTAACCCTGCATAATTGTCAGAAAATGAACCTCCCTTCTAAAAGAGGGAATGCTGGAGAAAGCGAATAGATTGGAGCTTGATGACCCAATTTCCTCAAACTTCTGAAACTTGGATCAAACAGCTTCCACCTGTTGTCTGAACATCTATGAGATCATAATATTCCAGAGAATTGACATACACTTGTGCATCCTCCTAACATTGTTAACAGCTATAATGTCTCTATGAACTCTTCATTTTTTTCCAGGCAAAGCTTCCTGATCTGCAGCCGTTTCCTTCCCCAGACGGTGACACAGTGACACAGCATGAAGAACTTGTCTGGATGCCAGGAGTCAATGACTGTGACTTACTTATGTACCTTAGGGCAGCAAGGTAATTCCAGCCGAGATACTACCAGTGTCTGTAGAACGCTGTAGAGGAAATGTGGACTGTCATGGATGTGCACTTGGCCACGGTCACTCCTTTTTATTTTATTTTGGTGTAGCCATGAATGTCAACCAGATAAGCTGAAATTGTTTAGTTTGAGACAAGAGTTCTGTGATTTGATGTTGGGCCAACGCAGAATCTTCCCTCTGGCTGTGGCTTTTGGATTTAAAATGTAAAGCCAGCTGTATGTGCTAGCATGATAGAGCACTGCATGCGTAGCGTGTAACGAGGGGAGTAGCTGCTACGAGTGGAATAGCTGTGATAGCACAGGATTCCTTCAGACACTATATAGGGTGGGTTTTTTTTTCTTTTGAATGAGCTCTCGTTTGCATTTCAGTTTCATACAGATCTTTGGTATGCCTGGTAGATTAATCAGATGCACTCATGGGCCTTATAATAATTCAGAGTATGAGTAAATTACCTGTAGTTTGCAAGAATTCAGAGATGTGGGGAATCTGCAATTTAAGTCATTTTTCTAACATAATGAAACTAAGATTACAACAACAGCTTTACTGTCTCTGGTGAGACCTTGTCCTCATGTACAGAGGTTATGTCTTCCATAATCCTGATCAGGCTTGGGTGCTACTGCAGTGCAGATATTTAATTTATGAAATGCACTCAGATTGGGTTTTAATTTTGAATGAATTATTCCATACGCTGAGGTGACTCAGGTTTGCATAACAAAGAGTGGTTTGTGGTGCCTTGTTTTACTTGTTTCCGCGGTATCACAAAGGCCCTGAAATTTGTGATTTGACATGTAAATATATTATTAGTGTATTGCATGATGCGTGCATCAAACAGCAGCTGAAGAATTTAAACTTTTTTCCCCCCTCAAACTATGAAGGAGCATGGCAGCTTTTGCAGGCATGTGTGATGGAGGATCCACAGAAGATGGTTGTGTTGCAGCCTCCCGTGACGACACTACACTTAACGCACTCAATACAGTAAGTATATAGAACTAAAGCTTGGAAGAGCAGTCTTTCCATTTATTTCTGCACTATTTATGTAGCGCATAAAATATTTTACAGGTAAAATAGATTTTGGGATCACGATATGAGTATGATAGTAGCTTAGGATATGATTCCCTTTCAAATACCAACTCATTTTCAAAGATCTAACCTACAGGATTTCAGGGATAAACTTCTGGGTGGTGCCTTTAAGATGACAGCTAGTGGGTGTTCTGTATGGGAAGCTGCTCAGGTCAGGTACACCAGCTGGACTTGTTACTTATTCAGCTGACACCTGACCTGCCTATTTGTCCTTTTTCATTCAGTCCAACTAGTTTCTACCTGTAGGAAAACAATAGTTATTTCCTAGAAGGAAAATTCATAATGCTGTCGGACGTAGTATCATGTATGTGGTAATGACTATCTGGAATTTATCCCATTCGTGGTCCAGTCTTCATTATCATTTATATTTGGATGCACATACGTCCAGTTATCTGTTGTATAAACATAAGGTGTGTAAAGAAAGTGTTACTGAGTAGTTCTGTAGATGTGAGCGTACATTGAGAGGCTCGCGCTGTTTCAGTACAGCCATAACAACTGTTTTGGGGAGGATGGGGGGCACTAACATGGGTAAATCATGATACGTGAAATGTTTTTTTAAGATCAAGCTGCAGACACTTGTCTGTCATTCCATATTTTTGGTAACTTAGGGAAGTCTCTAGTTGTTTGCTTCCCCGGAGTGCTATTTGCAGCTTTCAAGTGACTCTAAGTGACCTTTGTGTGTCTTCATTGTTTCCTTCCTGAAATAGAATAAAAGGAATTACGTGTAACTAGTCATATGTTACTCTGAAGAAACACACAGACAGATCTGCTGACTCTACCAGTAAACAGTTTTCGTTCTTCCTCTTTTTATGTTGCCTTTTATCCATAAAACATATCTCGGAAGTATGAACAGCTGAGTTCTGTCCTGTTGTTTTCATGGTTATTGGCTACATTCTAATCACATCCACTGGTGAAGGCCGTGGCAAGGATAGGATGTATTCTTTGCTGAATGAGTTTCTAGCTAAATCTGTGCTATGTTTTAGGGGCAATCACAGTAAAAATGTGCAAACCCCGTGGACAGCTGGTAGGACTGGAAGCTGGGAGCATCTTCAGTTGAGCACATTCTTTGTGAAACTGCCAAGGAAAGATGCAGTGTGTAGCTTCAGATTTAATTTTTAAAGATCTCCGTTCCTAAAAGTAGTTTTAAATATATTCTCCCTCAGTGTCCAGCACCATAACTATCTACATGCTTTGTTCACAATGCTTGAGGTGCGAGTTATTTGTTTTTGTTCAGTAAAAATAAAACAACTAGTGATACCAACAAGAGCCAACTCTGTCTTTTGTACTCCTGTGAAGTGGCTTATGGTAAATACCCCCTCATGACCAATGTTATGTCTGTCTCTGCTATGCTTAAACTATTTACAGTTGCATAGTTTTTAACCATTTATTTATAAAATTTTAAAAGCTTGTAGATGGTTGTGAAATACTTGAGAAACTGAGTGATAATCACTGAAACAGAGAACAGACTGTTCCTGTAGAAGAAATATCCTAAGCATGTTGTTACTTGGTTGTTTTATTAATGTGAGTGGAACAGACTTAAGCATATTTAACATGATTAATTTGATAAACTGATTCTTTACTGTCAGTAAAGCATCCCATTACGTGAAGTTTTTAAATACTTCAGAATATTAATAAGAAGCTCGAGTTGTATAACTGGTTTGTAACTGGTCAAGCCCATGATCAGGTACGTATGACTCGATTTCTACACTACAGATAAAATCCTGTATTCTTAACATGAAAAACGTTCCCTATGTAACGCTAGCTTACCAAAACCACTTGCATTGGTGTTTTATTTCAGTTTCTTATTTCTGTTTCTGTTTGATTACTCTATGGTTTTCATAGAGTGGGTCAATTTTTGTCTTGCTTCCTGCAACAGGCAGGAGTAAAACAGGATTAAGATCTAAAACGTGCCCCGTTACACTTCCTACCTAAACAGCAACAGAATTCCCATTCTCATTCTGCAGAATTATTTCAGTATAGTCTATACACTCACGTGTGTAACCAACTAAAATCCAAGAGGGAATTCTTTACCCAAATTAAATGCTTCCTTGTTGTTCTTGCTTTTACATCTACAAAGTCAAATGTTGCTTCTCAGTGCACTTCAGAACTGAGGTGAATGAATAAATCTTAGTCCTTTGTTTCCTTTTCTAAGGAAACAGCGTGTTAAAGATTTTTATACTGTTTGATAAGAGTTGCAGTTAAGTCTGTATTGCACATCCACTTCAATTTCTTACCCGTTTTCCCTTTTATTTCCTTCCTTTCTCTTGGGATGGATGCCATCTGATTCTGGTGCCTCACCACTCTAGAGTTTTGTTCCCTGACACCCTACTTAGAGACTCAAATCTCTATTAAGGCCAATAATCATCGAAGAGATTTTGGACTTGGAATTTCTTTCCCCACGTCATCTATAATACAAGACTAATGCAGGAAAATAATTTAATTTCGCTGCTTCACTATCTGCTTTAATTACCCCCTTTAATCACTTGGGATTCTAAGGAGCCTGGAGTTGCACTTGTAGATATCTTGCTTCTGAGACTTAGATTAGTCCCAAAATATTTCGTTTATGTTCTTCCGATTATTTTCTCTTTGAATTTCTAGTGCACATCTATTTTAGAGAATCACTGCTGACTCATTTTCTGAATGGGGGAGGCTTTCACACTTCTAAAATAAATGCACTATACAAACTCTTTAATTTACCCTCTTAAGAATCTTGTTTCTCCTGTGTAATATTTTTGACTGCTGTTGTCATGACTTCCCCTCACTATGACATAACTCATAGCAGTAAGACTTACCCTGTACTGTTCTTGTAATTATCGCATTATCTTCAGATTTGCTGAAGTTTCTCTTTTGTAGGCATTGTGGTGCGAGTTCCTCTCTAGGCTGGTTTTCAAGCCTGTATTGACACACTGTAGTCCCCATTAAACAGTCTGCCTGACCATGGACTGCTGTACTTCCAAGAAAACAGAGTCTGCGAGGTTTGACCTTAATGACTTCTGAAAGGTCCTTAGGCTTCTGTGCTTTATTAATGCTTCAAAAATCTACTCTCTGTACTAGTACTATTCCTTGCAGCTTTTAGGAACCCGTGGAGATATTTCCCTTGTTCACTCAGAAATTTTCAAGAAAATTATTTTCTTATGAATAATAGTTCTGCCAGGTGGGGTATTTTAAGAAACTTTGACTGATTTCTGAGAGCCTACTTTGACTAACCTAACCTAAAACAATTCAGCTAGGTAATTGTTGTCCTGACAAAGTGGTGCCCTTCTTATCTTTCTGTTCATTGTCTACTTAAAACATACCAGATTTATCTGATAAATAATTTGTGAGAATCTTACCCTGCTCTAAGTTGTGTTTTCATTTAGAAATTATCATATGCAACCCGGAAGATTAATGTAAAAAAAATGGATATGGTATGATTTCTTATTATGGAAATCCAATAAACTTCAGAGCAGCATTTCATATAAATCAGTCTTGACAAGCTCCTTTGCTAGTGTTTTATTTATGTAATAACAGATGCTGTAGCCCCCAGAATGATTTATTGTTAATTATACCAGACAGAAATGAAGATCATGGAAGGCACAATGCAACAGATATATATCAGCTCACTGAAATGGTTATTCACTTAATGTTCCAGGGAAATTTCGACTCCTGTTCCTTTGGCTGTTTGGGATTTGATGCCACATTTGTCACTGCAGGCTTTAGGAAGGAAATAAACTTTTCGTATGGAGTTTGTTGCCCTCCTGATGAGTGCTGAGAGGTAGGGAGGAGGACATAAGAGTTCCTGAAAGCCTTTCACCGTGGTGTTTTCCCACAGAGAAGGTCTTTTTAGACGACCGTAGAACAGGTAGCTGAATTGGGCTGACTTTCTAAAACTAGCTGGGATTTGTGCTTTGTTTAAATATTCATGACGAAAGGTCGTTTGATGCATTAGACCTTAAAATATTAGTCATGTAAAATACAAACATGATATTCAGTACATTTTTATTTTTCAAGTTTCAGAATTGAACTATAATCCGTGAAGCCATTTTTATTGGGGAAAGGGTAGATGATGGAAACTTTTTTTTTTTAATTGCTACCCAGTACTTCCTATCTTGTGATCTGGAGGAGCACATTGCTTCCCTTGCAAGTGAAAAGGGAAATGGAAATGCTGATTTGTGTTACTCCCAAACCTTGGTTTGGGTCACTGTGGACAACATTATTGTATTCTGAGAGCCACCATGGTCAGTGTGAAAGTTTTATAATTAATAATTGGCAGTAATGCACTTTTCCTTTTTAGTGCTTTTGGGCTTTGAGTGTGGATAGCCATCACTTTTTAATAATTAGAATACCCTCAAAAAGCCCCTCAAAACACTGTATTTACAAGATACCTGTAGAGATCTTTAGTAAGAAAATCGTGCAGGAGAGCCAGGACAGCCAGTTGTGGGTTGTTTGGGGTTATTTTTTGTTGTTGTTTTGGTGTAGGTTGGTGGTTGTCTGTTCCAAGCTGATTGAAATTTGGAATTCAATAGAAAAACCTTAGAATTATTTCCTTTCCAAGTCAGGCTAGTTTAATCAACTAACTTATTTTGCTTATCATTCTTCACTTGCAAGTGCAAGCATCTGACACACTGTTTTGTTCTCTTCTGCAGAAGGAAGTGAAGTCTTGTTTAAAGTATTTGTAAAAAATGGCCAATTGTGATGCCAGTATGTTTTTCCTTGCAGATAAATTTTTTCTGTAACACGTGCAGTTTGTGGGTAACCTGGGCCATCTGTAATACTTACGTGAAACAAGGGTGGAAGGATTTTCAGTTTTCAAATGAAAATAAAGACAACCCCGCACTTGAATTTGATCCTGCCACAAAGCTTAAGCATGTTTAGACAAGCAGGTGAAACTGTAGTTTTATTTGTTTCTTTGTGTG